ACAGGAGCCTGACAACTTCCTGGGTCCCTGCACCTTCCATTTATACATACATCTCTCTAGAGTTCTTCAATAATCCATCGTTAGGCGATCCAAATTCATAGAAGGCTGGTGAAGAATTCTGAAAGTGGAGAAGGAGAAGCGCTACACTAGATGTTAGAACTCTGATCTAACACCGATTTTTACTATGGACTTACAAGCTTAAATACGGCCCCGTAAAGAGATTTGGCATAATGTTATCTCTGATACATATAACGTAAGGATTATTCCGGTGTCAAACATTTTCAGAAGTTTCACGACAGTGTCACTTCAGTTGTTAATAGTCTGGCCATGGGAGACGAAAACAGAGCATTGCCGAACACGTCATCACTCTTAACTTTTCTGTTGTAAAATATATAGAGAATCGCCTGTCCAAATCATCTATGCTTCCTTCGTAAGGCAGAGGTGCGCTACAAACTGTGAAGACCAGGAGAGAATTAGTAAAAATGCCAGGTCCGATTTCTGTCGCTATTAGTGCAGTGCTCTGAGACTTTGCACTAGGTGTAAGACATTAATCTGGGCTCTATAACTGTAGTCCAGGAGAAGAGACCAAGCCATGGTTTAGCCCAGTGGCCAACCAACTCACACAAGAGCAAGAAGAGTAGCAATGTTATCACCAAACATACAGACATTGCATAAAGTAGCACGAAGGTTTTATGCAAATGCTCTAAGGAAAAAGAACTTAAAATTATTAATACGATGCGTTTTAAAATTGATGTAGCACTTTGCGTACGCGTCACGACCACTAGTCATTTGTGTTTAAGCAATTCGATAATCCTGGCCCCACAACATTACATCACCGTAAGTTTGTCATTGCTTCAGTTATGCACAGTTAACTTGAAATTTGTACTGCCTGCCCAAATTCATGTACTTAAAGTAGGCGTTTACTTATCTTAATTAAATGCGATCAACTTTTGTTTGCTTTCTCAAAGTGAGGTGTTCAGTGTTTCCCTTTTGAGTTTTGTATTTTATGCACATGTAGTCTTAGACCCAAAAGGGTGACGAACTAATCACGAGTAAGGTGGGTTAATAACATCCTAAATAGGAGTTTTTCAGCCAATGATCTTCATCATAGACGCGAGTTCCGTGTATTATCTTGCGTTTTGAGAACTAAAATGTTGAGGGGTTTGTGCTACTTCACGGAAATGGGTTGGACGATAAGAGCTCGACGTCCAATATTTCTTTCTCTTTCTCAGAGGCGCAAATGTGGTGATAAGCAGCGTAGGGATCAAATTTTGCGTGAATCAGAGGCACTGGGTGTGTTGACCAGGAATGCAGATGTGCAGGTATACTTGTCACCAGATCTCTCCAAAAGTCTGAGAGAAGAATTGTCTTCGGCGGAAGTGGGACTAGTGAAAGTTAAATCATCTGTCTTAAAGGATCTTTTTCGCAAGGGAAGCGTTACGATGAAGGTGGTATGCTCCATTAATGCTTCGTTACATATCCTATCAAATCTGATCACACTTGAATTAATGAGCAAGCAATTGTCGGTTTAATTTATTGAAAAACACAAAATTAAGGTGTGCACTTGTTCGCTAAGATTAGAATAAAGCTTTCTCACCAAAACATGCCATTATTCAGGGAGTATAACTGCTCCCTCACTACCATTGTCATTGTGCAATGCTCGTGGTTATCACTTTAACAAACTTCTTTGAAATTTATTAAGCTTACAATAATCGTTTCTTGTGCGCGTTGAAGCACTCTTTACAGATTAGATATTGAATGTCGATTGTCGTCAATGTAATACCTTCCTGCCCTCCTGAGATTGAGGACCGCGGAACTCTTCCAGTATTGGAGGTGAGCCCAATTTTGAATGCAAACGGCTGTGCTGTGGGTTCGGCATTAGCATCACCAAGAGCCAAAGTGCTGAAGCTTCGTACCACCATCGACGACCATATGATGGGTGTTAAAGTTCGGCAGATATCTGAACTCTTAGCCAAGGGTTACGAAGTGATTGTCTCCGTTCGTCTTCCCCCTAAACAGATGAAACATCTCACGGGCACTTTGGTACTATCCGATGAACAAAAGTTGTCAGTCCAAAAGGTGAGCAGAATACCCCTCCTTGCTATCTCTTTGGCTTTGTTAGTGCTAGCAATGTTTAACGCCGCCAACCCAGGCTCCATAGTATCCCTTCCCCGAATCTGTTAACCACACCTATAATGTTCTTGACCATCTCCTTCGTTTTTTCCTGCTTTCCAAACTATTATTTCCTTCTGACTACTCTCTGCCACCGTCCGAATTATTACCAGTGCGATTCTACTGGGTCTAAGTGGTACCTCCCTTCGCCCAAGGTGCAAACTCAGATTTGCTCAAATACTTATTAATTCCCTCTGATTCTGCTTCCCAAAGTTGTTTTGCTGAAGAAATCCTGAATAATTAGCTGAACATGATTTTATTTTGCTCTGAGTAGTCCTTCCTTTTACTCGCAAAATACTGCTGGGCACTAGTGCGACTATGCCCCTCGAGAATGACCAAATACAGCGGTCCGGATGCACACCTGTCCTACAATAGAAAAGATAAGACCCTGTGTATAGTATCCGTCTAATAAAGTGCTGCTTTTCAGAAGTTGTATGAGTCCAACGCGCAACGGTTCATGAATGCCTTCAGGGATTGCAGCTCAAAGCCTCCCAAGTTGATACAAAACAAAGATTTCCAGGAATTCACAATAATCCTATGCGATCAACAGTAACGCTTTGTTTACTGACATTGCCATGCCTTTGCTAATAAATGTAAGTTACCGGAGTGGAGGCTCGTACAGTGTCCGATTGCATGTATTGAATTTTATTTGGCAAACGTACAGAAGCTGGACGCATTTCTGTGATGAAGAGGAGGGGACCCGGTCTAGGCCTTTAGTTCTTTAACGGCTGGGCCTTTCCCAGCTCTCGGTCGTGGCTTTGTGTACGGACTCAGCGGTCGAGCGGCATAGTTTTCAGGCCTGTAAAATGTGAATACCAAGAGGCAGGCCGTGGTCGGAATGACTAATAACCATTGACTAATAAAGGTGAAAAGCGCATCGTTATGATGAAGTGAGCATAAAAATCGATTTATTAATATTGGTTGATGTACGGAATAGCGATTGGATAACCAGAACCTCATTCGGTCAAAACAATCGGAACACAATCATAAAGTACAAACTCGAGTTGAACATACCAGTCAAAAAGCTTTGGATAAGCTTCGATCTCTTCTGGTGAATAGGCTTCAAGGCGTCTAGGGACGGGGAGTACTTGGCGTATGACACCAGAAACGTTGTTGATGAGATCCTTCGGCAGGGTCTACATTTGGAGCCAAGAACATAGGGGATGCTAGGACTTACGGAGGTGGGCTTCATTCACAAGTTAAAGGGATCTCAACAACAAAGTAGTTCGAAGAACCAAAATCATTTACTTAAAGCTTGGAGAATAAAGATAATCAATAAAAGCAAGGTCCGCGAGATCATGGTATCGGGGAGCAGACAACTTGAAATCAACTTTGGTGGTTAGTGAATCAAAGATTTCCTTATCTACCTCAATTCCGTCGGCGAAAATGTGTAAACGAGCAAGCCAATCGGGCCGGCTAGTGCAGTTTTTTAGATGCGAGCGAACCTCGCGTCTAAGAACCTAGGAGGGAAACTTGAGGATAAGCCCACGAATCGTATAATTGCTTAGAAGGAAAGGTGATAAATGGCAGCGAGATATTCATTTTTTTGTCACAGTTCACTTCAATTCATTTAAGACATGAGATTACCTCAGTTGGATCGCGAGCATGCATTTCTTCCATCGTCTCTTCGACACGATAGGGTCCAAACCTACGGATGTTAAACAAAAGCGGCGAGTAACCTAGTGTGATGAGTGTAAAGGAAGCGTCTCCAGTACAGACTGTTGTCCTTCGCGGCAATATAACGACTGTTGAAGACGATAACACTATCGCCACAATCACCTCGTGGATCATATATTCTTTTTCTGGATCCTGTAAGGTACGAGGCTAACAATTCCCCAGATAACATTGGACACTGCATGTAGGCGTCATATAAAAACCATCTGTGTGCGAACACCCTCCATTTCTACGAAAATGGAGTTAGGGAAATGTACTAGTACCTGTACACGGAAGCACGACATCATCGAGACGAGTGCCTAGAGCGACGTTAGACTTTCCACCGGCAAAACTATCGCTTAAAACAAATTCCACAAGGCAATGCATCTAACAGTTCTTTACAGCATTTGGTCTGCTTATATTTGTTAGTAGATACAATATCTGGATTGAAACAATAATATTTTCTGTCAAAAGCTAATGATTACGTGCTGACAATCAAGGAAATATGGAGCATCATGTAATATCTTGATTACCTTAAATTACTAAAGTTCGTTTTACACCCGTGAACAGGAGTGTAATGCTTTGTTTCTGTCGCCACATGAAGTTAGGTGGTCACTTTAGAAGTTGTCAGGCTCCTGTACACGTGAGCCGGCCTTCGGGCCACGCTCAGGATCCATTTGCCCTGTCGTCTTCACAATACATGTATTCAACCTCACTTATGCCTCCTTCCACCCT